GGGGTTCGGTCGTCGGCGTTCGCAGGCTGGGCACCCACCGCGCGAGAGCCGTGCAGCCGATGCCTGGTACCGGGTTTGCGCAGCGCCGACGCGAGCAGGGCCGTGGGATCGCGCGTGCGGTGGTTTTTTTTGCTCGCCGTGGCGTGTCGTAAGTGGAAGTGCTTCTGGCCGGGTCCCGTGCCGGAGCCCGGAGGAGTCAGTGGAAGGACTCACCGTGCCTTCAGTCGCTTGTCTTGCAAACTCTCAGATGTGTGAACGTCAGCCAAGCAATCCGTCAGGCTGCTACTATCGCTAGCAGGGCCGTGGGATCGCGCGTGCGGTGGTTTTTTTTGCTCGCCGTGGCGTGTCGTAAGTGGAAGTGCTTCTGGCCGGGTCCCGTGCCGGAGCCCGGAGGAGTCAGTGGAAGGACTCACCGTGCCTTCAGTCGCTTGTCTTGCAAACTCTCAGATGTGTGAACGTCAGCCAAGCAATCCGTCAGGCTGCTACTATCGCTGCTGTTCGGAAGATGGAACGATCAGGCAGAGCGTTGAGTTTTACACCTGTATTTCCTGGCTGGGTTATGCCAAAGCGTAGGACCCAGAGATTTGCGTATGGTGTCGTGAAGGAGAGCGCCGTGCGTTTTTTTTACAGTATTAAAAATACGCCTTACGGAAAAATTTATTATGCAAAGAACTCGATGGATGTCCTGATCTACATACCTCATGTGGCGTAACTCAGCAACCCCGTTAGCATGATTTATACTCGCAGAGAACTTGACTCTATAGATTTGTAGATTCTGCCTTTTGTTTTCCTGTTGGTTAAGGATGAACCTGAACAAAATCCATTCACACTCCTTTGGTAATGTTTGCTCTGCTTCTGAAATATTGTGCTTTCGGCCGTATTCCCAAAGAGAAGGGCATCTTATTGCTTGGGCAGTCCTGGATGTCGTGAATCCTAATAGAGCGTTTGGGGGAAAAGTCACCCGGGCTGGCAGCTGGGCAGATACAAAAGCAGACTTTGCTCCCCTCTCTTTTCAGTAATGTAAGGCAGAGATAAGAGTGAAACCTCTCATCGTTATGTTGCATAATGCCCGGTTGCATAAATTGTCTTGGATCTGCTATTTCTGGCCTGCAAAGGCTACTTGTAAGCGTGGACTGGCTTTCAAAATACCCACTTGCAGGGACTTTTTGGGCTCCCAGTTGCTGATGAATCCTTGCAGTGCGTTAATCCTTCCTCCTAACAGGCCTTGGTACAGCAGAATGTCTCCCAAGACAAAAAATGGTGGTGGTTTTATTTTTAAGGACTTGACATCTATGGAAAAAATCCCCATTGACTCCAGTAGGGTCTGGCCAGGTCTCTTAAAAGCCTTGTGGTGGCCATTTCCCAGGCGAGTTTGTGTGTTATCGTGCGAGCTGGAGCCTTGCGCTGAGGGTAAGGGGCATATTTTGCATTTGGGGGTCTCCCCCGAGTGGCTTTGAGGTCTTTGGGTGTTTGGAGGGGGACTGTTGGAGCAATGGGTGGGTTGCTGAGATCAGGACCAGTCGTATGCAGAGCAGGTTCCTGCCCTGCCCGCTTTCTGATGTCTTTGTACTCGGAGGGGAAATAGCGCGAGTGCTGTCGCCCTGAGAGGGCAGGGTCAGCCCCAGCTCCTCCTGGCTCACTGGAGTCGCACCCGGGAGAGCTGCTGCAGTCGAAAATGAGACTTGAGTTGAGTTTTTGCGGAAAAAAGAACCCGACAGCACCTCCAGTACATAGCTTTGTGCAGTGCATAAGCATTGAAGGAATGCAACAGGCACATTAAAAATGCACGTGAAGGCTGCTTAGAGCAGAGCATTGCACGGTCCAGGGCTGACTCACTGCTGACTTTTAAACCCAGCAGCATAGGGGGAGGATGGATGGAAACCCCCTGAATGCCAGGGGCTGACTAGCAAAGCATTTGCCAACAGGAGTTACGACTGCTCCGCGTTTCCTTTCCCCTCCCCGGATTCAGTTCCCCTCCAAAACATCTCCGGTTGCAAGAGATGAGCCAAACGTTCTGCTGGATGTGCTCGGCGTGGGGACGGCCTGGGAGGGAGAGGGAGAATTTCAGACCGAGGTCTTAAAGCCCTGGGAGGGAGAATACCTGAAAACAGGGAGGCTACGTGGGCTTGCACAGCCCAGTTGCTGGCGAATTGTGACTTGATGAGCCCAGGTCAGGTCGTGTTGTGGGGAGCTGGGAGCCTTCTGCCCCGCTCTGCTATGCTTGGCGTTAAGTAATACTGGTGCATACTGGTGGTTTTGGGTTTTTTTTCTGTCCTCCATCACCACCTCTTGAAAACAGAAGTACTGTAAAGAAATTTCTGGGTTTCCCTTGAGATGTTTCTTCAGCAAAGCTGAGGCTGTTGTTCATTGTGTTTTGTTGTCATTGAGTTTTCTGTTTAAATACATACCCGAAAGGCAAGGGTTATTTTTGTTTTAAATACACCCTCCCCCTCCCCCCCAAGGCAGTTGCTGCTGGATTGGATCAGCGAGAGATGCTGAGAATGACGGCAATAGCAAACTGTGAATTCAAGGGATACCGAGGAGGTTGAGCGTGAGGGCCCAGGTTTCATTCAGCACGCGACCCGTGTCACGGCCGTGCATGCAGCCCGGAGGCGGAACTTGGCCTCGAGCTGTTCAGTTCGCTCGGGAAGCTGCTGGAAGGGAGGTCAGGCCTTGGCGGTGCAGGGATGAATCCGTGGAACAGGGAGATGCTTCGCTGGAGCAAGCAGGTGCCGTGCATAAATAAGGTGTGGGTTCAGGGTATTACCTCTGCTGACTGGATTCAGGTTCTCCTTCCCTTCCTTCATTTTTACTTGAAAAATTGCTTTTGGATAATTCTGTGAAACTTCCTTCAATGCCACGTCCAGCTCTCGCTTAGCTGATGCCGGAGAAGCGTTAGCCCGTGCCCCTTCGTGCTCAGACCGGAGCCCCTTGCCTCTCGGGCGTGTTCGTGTCGGTGAGGTGGAGATGAGCTGCGCGTCGTTCAGACCTCGCTGTCCTGCCCTGCCTGCCAAGGGAGAAAGGGAAAATGCACCGAGGCGCAGCACGGTGTGCGGGCTCGTTTCCAGCCCTGATTCAGGTGGGGTCAGGCTGAATTTCCAGCTAGCCTTTGGGCAGCTTTGATGTTCTTCAAGCACTTTACACAAAGAGCAAGCTAACCGTGCCCCTGGAAGCTGGTGATCCTGCCGGCGCACATCCAGCGCTTAAACGGTTTTAAATCTCTTTTGGGGGGTGGAGGCAGCTTGTTTGAAGCTCTGCACGTGACCTATAAACTAATGGGGCTTTCGGTTACGGTCAGAAAACTGAATTTCAGTGCCTGTTAGTCTGATATCCTTCTCATTTCCAGCCTGTGTTCCTCCCAATCCTGCACTGCCAGTACCGCAGCCTCAGCGGGATGAATTGTACGTGGGAATTTTATTTCCGTACTCTCTGAAGCTTACTGTTTTTAATGAATGTGGAAGAATAATGCTAATTGTTTCCTTTGCCACACAATCTTAATGCAATAAGACCCGTACGGCCTCAATGCAGCATTTCGAAGTCAGTTTTCTGAACAGAACCACTGGTTTAATTGGGTTTTTTTTTCAAGCTGTAGTAAATTCTATTAACTGCCCTGGGTCCTCATGCACAGCCAGAGGGCCCCAGTTATCGCTGCAGTCCTGCGACAATCAGATTTGTGCTGGGAAAGGGGCTGGTTCTTACCCATTGCCAACTTCAGCTTGAGTGCACTTAAAAGTCTCTCTTCAAAGTGATTAATCAGAGTTTCTGCGTGGAAAAAAGAATAAGAAAGGCGGCTGGCTTGGCTGCCTGTCCCTCACTGCCGTGACGTTTGTACAGCGCACGTACGGGACCAGCTGCTGTGGTCTTAACCTGCACTTCCCGCAGCCTGCTGCAGGATTTTGGGGGACTTTCCCCGTATCTCCTCTCCCTTCCAGCCAGCCCGGTCCTCGTCATACGTGGTGTTAAGTTTACAGCCTCAGCCTCTCGAAGCCAGCGCTCACTCCGTCTGTAATGCACACTATGCATGGAGCACGTAGGTGATACTAAGCTCGTAACAGCAAACCCCGTGTAAGCAATCACGACGCACAGCACCTGAAGCGCGTCTTCAGCGGGGCTTAAGCAAGCCCGAGCGAGATCCGTTCAATTGCTGAACTCTCAATCACTCCAAAGTGGTGATCTGTTACTTTAACTCAGCTTCCACCAAAGACTCTTGTGTTGGGGAGTTGAATTTTTGTGGTGTGGGGTTTTGGTTTTGTTTTTCTCGTTTTTTTTTTTTGTTTTTCCTCATGGTGTTAAATCAAGGCCTTTCAGAACACCGGAAGACTCCAAAGCATTTTTACAGTAGTATCTTTGACAGTGAAATCTTGTTCCCGTTCTGAAACACATTCCTGAAACGTGATCAAGCTGCATTAGTGTTTCTAAAAATAAGCCACGGCCCGTAGTTTCCATTGTAGGTAGGGTAAATCACCGTCACGCACACCTAGAAATACTCCTCTGTGAAGTTAGAGGGATAATGATGATCCACCGCTCCCCATCCTTCCCCTCCAAAGGGAGAAGTAAGTGCTCGCAGGGGTGGGGAGGGCAGGGTGCCTGCTCCGAGGTAGGATGCAGCTGGTAGAGCATCGCTCCGCGCCAAGCCCGGCGGTGAAAGAAACTCTCTTCTTGCTGGATGGAGCGGGAAGCCGGAGCTGGAAGCATCCGTGGTCTCCGCTAACGGCGACGATCGGTGACTCGTGTCCTAAGAGCGGTGTTTTGCTTGCACCGCGCTGTCGTTAAGGTCACTCTTGGGGAGCACCTCTGACTTGCAGGTTTGATGGAGTCGAGTTTTGCACTCCGGGTGTGAGTGTCTGTGTTTCTGGTAATCATGATGAAGAAATGGTCGAGTTGTAAACTTCTGTACATTTTAATAAAACTGTATCTGATTACAATACATCTTCTCTGCTGTGCATTCCTTCTCCCTTCCCCACGTGAAATATTTTTGTTGGGTACAAAGAATATATTTTTAATGAGTCCTTCCCGCTGAGGTACTGACCTGGCTGTTGCTACTGTTTTACCTGGCGGTTGTCAAGACAAACTTTGCAAGTCAAATCTTAAAAATCTTTAAAGTCGAAGCTTACTGCTAGAAGTGGAGGCTTTCAGCGGTGGATATTCCACTTTACTGGAGGGAAACCTTCACATCTAGGGCAATGCTACAGGACAGCGCAGAGCTATGGAGCCCTCCCTGCGAACACAGGAGCTGCCGCTGCAAGAGAGGAGGTGCAGAACGGCCCCAGCCCCGGCGAGGCTCCGCCGTACGTGAGCAAAGCGGCCCAAACCGCTGCCGTGCCCAGCCGTGCACGCAGGGGGGGGGAGACGGGGGTGTCCGAGAATAGGTTTTTGGCACAGCGCGGGGAAAACGTGCGTTCTGTGAGCACAGCTGCCTGCCAAGGTACAGGGAATCCAGCGAGCAGTGACTGAAATGAAGGGCTGAAAGTTTGTTTAGAGAACTTGGTTGGCTTTTTAGGTTGTATTTGTTAATCGTAAGAGGATAAGCGGCTGTGATCGGCCAAATGGAAGCGACTTTGGTCCAAAATCGGCAGGGCTATAGTCATACTAAAGCAGGGAAAAGGCAGCCGTGGCCCAGGCACGAACTGGAACCTCCTCAGCTTGCTGAGGTTGCAGATGTGTCTCCTTCCTCCCCAGGGAGCCTCTTCCTCCTCCTGTTCCTCGTGCAACAGCCCTGAATGTCGGCAGCGGCTGCCAGCTGCAACACCAAGAGCTTCCACCTCACATATGTGGTGATAAAACCAAACACATTACCTCTAACTTTTTCTGCAGGCCTCACCTCTGGAAGGTTGCTGAGGAGTGGGCCAAATCTGCAATTTCTTGACTGCTTGTGAGCCTTGGGGCACGGGGCAGGGGGAAGGCTCTTTGTGTTTCACTGGGCTCGGTGGTGAACCCTGGGCTGGAGGGGGCTGTTCCTGAGCCCCGCATGGGGTGACCCACACGGCTCCTTCCAGAGGGTGACAAAGCGGGAGAAGCGTGGCCAGCGTCGAGGGAGGGGATTCTGCCCCTCTGCTCTGCTCTGGGGAGGCCTCCCCTGGAGCCCTGCGTCCAGCTCGGGAGCCCTCAGCACAAGGAGGACATGGAGCTGTTGGAGCGGGGCCAGAACATTAACCCCCGCGCCAGTACGATCTCAGAGCATTTTGGCTGGATCTGAGGAAGAAATTCTTTACAATGAGGGTGGTGAAAGCCTGGCAGGGGTTGCCCAGAGAGGGGGTGAAGGCCCCATCCCTGGGACCATTCCAGGCCAGGTTGGCCGGGGCTGTGAGCAACCTGATGTGGTTCAAGGTGTCCCTGCTCCTGCGGGGGGGTTGGGCTGGGTGACCTCTGGGGGTCCCTTCCACCCCAAACCATTCCATGATTCTATGAAAGCCATGCCAGCAGTGGGGACTGGGACTGCGGGACCTCATCGCCCTGGAACGCACTGCAACGGTAAGAAGAAAGAACCCATTTGAAGACAAAAGTGTTACCCTTGGGGGTTGTGCTTTGGGTTTGGTTTTTTTTTTTGGGGGGGGGGAATAACATTTCTGTATTTCTATTTTTAGGA